ACTAGTCCTAGTTAATATCTACTATTACTAATAGGGTATGAAGTTCAGTTAATAGGGCCAGCCTATAAATATTCTTAAGGGTTATCTTATTCACTTCTCCTACTTCCATTATATAGTTATTAAAGTTGATATTAAAGTCCTAGAGCTTATGGGAGCCTTACCATATTATTAGGAGGTAATTATGCGCAATTTCTCCCACCAAGTAGTCTAGGAAGTTTAAATTAAGAAGTTCCTAGAACTCTTCTTCTAACCCTTATGGGTTATAACTTAGGTACGTTAGACCCACTATTATAGCCTTCCTAGTTAACCTACTTATAATATATCTAGGGACGTTTCCTACTCTACCCTAATCTTTAGATAGCTTATACTTTATTACTATCTTAAACCACTAGTAGTCCTTCTGGTCCCCATTAAAGTACGCCAGGTTAGTAATTTTAGGGTAGTGAGCTATTCTACGACTTATAGCCAACTCTACTAGTAATCTCTTAATTACGTCTAAGTGTCGTCCATTCATTTAATTAGTAGTAGGGTGTCCTTCCTATCTACTAATATTTAATCCTATTAATATTGGGGTTTCTTCCTATCCCCCTATAGTACCTATTATGCCCGTCGCGCCCGTTACATAGTTCATAGCCTAGAGGCTATCTCTTAGGTGGATAAGGGTTATTACCTTACCTATAAATCTTTCCACTTTAGTACCATCCATACCATAGCTCTAAAATTCGTTATAGAAGAGGGAGACGATTCTTTTATCCTCCTAATTACTACTATCTTATAGATTAATGGCTTATTGTGCGTAGTCGTCTACGTGGAGTACCTATTCCTTATTAGAAGCTCCTGGCTAGGAGTCTATACCTTTGGGTAGTTACCTCGTAACTTTGGTTCTATATTAGTATATAGTCCCTTCGCCCAGCGGCGGAGAGAAGAGGTGAATTTAATATTATAGGCCAGATACTTGAGGAGCCAAGATAGCCAGAATAAATATTTATAAATTTATAAAGACTTAAAGTTAAGCTTCTACTACTAAAGTTATATATCTACCCCCCAAAGCTAACATTGGGTCCGAGGTCCCAGCTAGTCCTGGGCCGAGACAAGACCTCTAGGGCGTAGCCCATTATAAGAAGAGCTAGTCGAGACTATAAAACTATTCTAAATACTAGACTATACGGAATATAAGTAAGCTTATAATTCTTTT